GAACCTCACACTTTGAAGCTGAACAGGCCAGAGATCAGACCAAAACATCCCAAGCTTCAAGGGAAACCATGGAACTGGTTAAGCACGAACATCAAGAAAAAAGAACAACAAAAAGAAACACGAAAAACTGTTCATCATAACCCTTGATGGCTGCTTTATCTCTGCTGTTGGCTCTTTGGAAATGTGATGCTCTGCAAGTATAAAAGAGACAGGATTTCTAGAGGAATGTAGTGTGCCTTTTATTAGATCATTCAACTTAGGGAAAAGAGTCAAGCCCTGGGCACACAAAATGTTCAGGAACATTTGTCTGACTTTTTCATTACCCTGATATTAACTTTATCTGCAAACCCTGCTTTGCTTTGGCTACTTTCAGCTAGCACCAGCATCTTCTTATATTATCACCTCTACATTTGAGGGCTTTGTTCACCCCTGTTCTTCCTCCTTCTGCTCCTGGGCCAAGGTAAGAGGTAAGAGTAATTACTGCAGTCATCACAGATCATTTTGTCTTACTTCCTTGTGCTTTTCTGCTACTTTCAGGCTGGTTTGCCTGAAATCATACAGCAAAGCAAGAGCACCAGGAAGCAAACACTCACACATGACCCCACACTTTTGCTTCTAACATGCAGAAGTATCTGTCTTCTCCCTTCTAGGCAGAAAGCCATGAGAAAACCCTGCTGACAACAGTGAAAGAGAACTGCATAATAATCTTACCTATTACACGAGCTAGATTCAGGCCTTACCTGCAGTTTCACAAATAAATCTTTAATTTTAGTTTTGGGAATGGATCGCAGCCCTGGTAATTTTAATACTGAAGACGGAGATTAGGCCACATTTTCTCCCTCATACAGATGGATTTACTCTGCTTTTTACGGTCTTAGAACCTTAAAGAGCTAATGGCAAGTTGGCCAAACTTCCTCCAGGAATTACCTAATCCTTCTAAAATTGTTCTCCAAAACGAGAAAACACACTGAACAAAAACGCTTTCCTGAACTGAACACTTACAACACTCAGAGCTTCTGTCTTAGAAAACAAACAAAACAACCCAGAGAAAACTGCACAAACTGCAAAACATCGCATTGCTCCTCAACAAAAGCACTGAAGTACAAGTTTTTCTTCATACATTCACATAGCCGAAAAAATTACGATTTCATACAAATTTAGATATTGTTTCAGTGAAATGGGTATTTTTTGAGAAAAAACAAACACAAATAAAATGTAAGCAATATTTCATCCATGTAATCATTCTTCTCCAGTGGTGATCATCCAAATGGATGATCTTAGGCTATGGGAAAGAGAGTACCAGAGGGCACCTATAGCAAGAGGGCTACAGGGAAGAATGCTGAAAAGAGACAAATCTTTTTGCGTGTCCAAGATTCTGTTTTCATAACATCTGTTAAAAAACAGAAGTGGTTGCCTTCACATTTCCGGAAGAGACACTCTTCCTGGCTGTCTTTCTGCACGCAATGCAAACAGCGCTCTGCAGATCTCCAGTCAGACGTGCAGGGCAGGTATTATTAGCACGCAAACTCTCAGGGATTTTGAAAGGCCTTTTGCATACGGAACGCAAAAAAAGGAAAGCTAAGTATTTCAGGAAAGGGATGAAGTGATTCATTCACAGTTATAGAACAGAAGGGTCGGGCTGGTGCTTTCATCTTGCTTATACTGCTGCTAGCATGAGCCTCAGCTTCCATGCTGCAGGCACTGGGCAGCCCTCATTGCCCTCCAGGCACAGCAGTAGCTCCTGACAGGGCCAACACAAAGCCAGCACAGCACTCCTTCAACAGCTGGGTGGCATGGTATTGTTGCATCCATACTAACTCAGCTGCCTCAATGCTACATCAGTTGCTCTTATGGAGAAATTTCTCTGCACTTACGGCCCTGCTCGGCCTGCTGGACAAAAGTGTGAGATGCAGAAAGGAGCAGAGAAGGAGGCCTATGCTCCAAGATGGCTCTGAAGTGGCAGGTGGGACCAACACCATCGAGACATTTCGCTTTCAGGAAAGCCTGTGTGCCTTAGAAAAGAGCCAGAAATGCCTTGATCAGCTCTGGGCACTGTCCCTGCTTACACACGGAGCATTTCAAGTTACAGAGCAATTTCTGTCAGCAGCTCTGGTAGCAGAACGTGGCTAGAGCAGAACAAGGATGTGAGGCAGAAATACTCAGACACAATCTTGATTTGCTTAAAGTCACCCACTAGCAGCTGTGGGACTGCAAGAGAGCCCAGATCGTGGCCTAGCATGCAGCAAAGTCATATGGGACTTCGTGTGGCTCTTGATGTTCACTCCAACACTTCAAGCCTATACTCATTTGTCACCCAGACAGTATCAGGTGACTTGTGATTGTATTATGTTGGCTAGTGAAGTCATTCATCCTTGCACATTTATTTTAGTTTTTTCTGCTTTCTCTGACACACCACTAACAAGGCTTCTCAGTATTGCTGGGGGGTGACAAAGACCATGTCTACATAACTTTACTCACTTTTAAAGTGAGATGAAGGGTAACCATGATGACCCACGTGAGCACTGTTTGTTTGGGCTGGCATTAACCCTGTAACAGGTAAACGCAATGGGATTTGATTGACAAAGAGCCAAAGAGTATGAATAAAATGAATGCCAGTCAAAATGCGGAATGCGGATCCCATCAGGCTAACCTGACTGCTGCTCTTTACTGAGGTTTGATTGAAAAAGTTTGGTTGAACAGATATAATATACACAGGCTCCTGAAGGGCTTTTAACTACCATGTGTTACCTGCAAAAACAGCAACATACAACATCAGTAGACTATAGCACACATTCATTAAGAAACTGCTGCTGACATCTCTAGTGTTTGTCACTGGGGGAATTATCCTGAATAAATGTGTTTCTAGCAAGGTTCTACAGGGACTGATTGCAGTCTCAGTAACATTCATTAGTTCTAACCAGGATCAGGAAGTTAATTTAAAAACAATCAAAAATACTATGGATAATTCAAAAAACTGTGAACCAGCAAACAGTGGGAAAAGTAGTGTATCCAAAGCAACATGGATTATGTACTAAATTAATACAGCCAAAGACAAAGTGGGTATGTGTAGGAAGAAACGCAGACAGAAGGAGAAGCTGCCTTCTGGGAAATGAAGAGACTATTTCTCCTTCAGCCAGGCAGATATGAGCATATTGTACATATTTCCAGTGCCTAAACTTCAAAGAAATGAGCAGAGGGGAGAAAAGAACTATAAAGAAGGTTCCAATACATACTGGTAGCTTTAAATAGCTCTGTCTGCTTAGTTTATCTAAAGATGAAAATTAAGCCAACTTTCAATTTCTAAGCACCTTCGTCTGAAAGAAGTGCTTGGTGGTACACAGCACTTGATTTAGCAGAACAAAGCATATAAGCCTGGAAGGAAGCTGATTTCAGATAGCCAGGTAGGGAATGAGGCACACATTTTCACCCATATGAGTAACTGCTGGAGTCAGTCACCGAGGAAAGAAGCAGAGCCACCTGTAGAGTCTACAGGTCAGCATGGGTGGCTTTCTAGGATGTTACTTCCATAAAATGTTATACTTTAATCAAAGTAAAAAAGAAATTGGGTTCAATACAAGTCACTGACTGAAAGTCGCAGGTCAAATTATAGATTCTAGCAGAAATCCAACTGATTTCTGACCTCATGTTTCTAAAACTAGAATTCAGCAGGAGCTAAAGTTCACACAACTCCATCACACAGCGTTTCCACGTGATCACTACTAATCACTACTAAATCCAGCAAGAACATATGAGTGACTCCAGATTTTGGGAGCACTATAGGGAAATATTCTAAATGTTGAATCTCCTCTGCTCTGAACAATGTTGGTTATGTGATTTGCTGGTACCACGAAGGGTCCAATACATAAAGGAAAACACAATGCAAATAATTAATGGTAACTGGGGAGAATGATGAAAATTAAAGCTTCTTTCCTGATTGCTTTTTGCTTAGATTTTGAGACTAAGTATTCAGGATGCTGCCTTCTTTCTTTCTGCACAGTTAGCAGCTTTGGAGTATTTTCTCTCTTGCAGTCCATACTGAGTTATCTGTACCTTCCTGCCAGTTAGAGATTTGTTTAATGAACTTTGCATGCATCTACTCCTAGCACTGCAAAGTTTAGTAAGCAAAACTGTACCTCCCTAGCATTCAGAGATGTGCTGAAAAAGAAGTGTGGTGTACATATATTTTCTTTGATAACTTCTAATTTGCTTGAAGTATTACTCAAGGTGCATTTTCGCTTGTCCTTCAAGTTTAGAGGATGTGGGCATAAGATACCTTGTTCTCTTCTGATCCCACTCTTCAAGTATCTCAATGCATCTTAATAATGAGCAGTCTAAAGAGTCTAAAGATTAAAGAGATATGAAAAGGTTTTCACAGACAAGCCTTCTATTGGATAAGGTTATTCTGTCTGCTTTCTTTCCTCCAGTGTTGCAATGGAGAAGTTGCTAAGTCTTTTGTTCTCTGGGTTTTATTGGAAAGTGAATGGGGGGAGATATATCTATACCTCTCACAGAACTAAGAGCAGCTTAAGAGATACTATTCAATACAAAAGCTGAACTAATTTTGTTGAAGGTAAGGATAAAACTTTGAATAGCTTCATTAAGTAACCAAATCAGGAGCCCACAAGGGGAATTAGATTCATAAGCTGCAACATTACTTAGAGAACAACACAGGCAATTAGGTATAAAAGCATATATTTGAAATTACCATGATAAACCACCTGATGCTTGGAATTTGGAATTACAAGTATATCCCATTCTGAACACTGCTTATCAGTCTAGAATTCACAGTTCACATGGATAAGTAACAGCAGATAATTTTTCAGTGGGCACAGCTATAGGAATTTAGGATAGAGACAAATGCCAATGTTTTATAACTATGACTGCAAACTTTAAAAAAAAAAAAAAAAAAAAAAAAAAAAGCAACTAGAATGTAAAACAGTTTATCACCTCAACTACTTCTGTCACTGACTGAAAATATTACATAGCAGGGGATTGTTTACCTGGAATGCTCTCCAGTTTTCTGCGAAGTTCCTCATTTTCTTGTTGCAATGAAATTACCTCCTGTTCAAGCTCTTGACATCGAGGGCAGTAACCTTCCTCTTCTTCTTCCTCTTCCTCCTCTGGAAGCGTAGAAGATGATGGGTGACCATGAGATTCAGAAGTTGCTGGAGATGTCCATCCACCTAAAGTGTGTACTGGAGAGGTTGAAAGTGGATCCACATCTGCCAAATGGCTAAAATCATTTACTGACGAGGTGTTCTGAGAAGGGAAGCTCCCAGAAAGCAAATAGTTCTGAAGCGAATCAGTAAAAACTCTCAGAAAGGCTGAGGTTTGTTGTTTCTTTTGCATATACTGCATCTCTATGTCTAAAATGTCTGACGTCTGACTATGGACCATTTTTCCAAGCTGACATTGCTCTTGTCTTTCACTATAATTTGGGTTTTCCTGCTTTATACAAGAAATCATTGACTGAGAGTGATTGTTGTCCAGTAGTTTTCCACCACAATTTAAAAGACTTAGAACCCGGCTGCACTGTTGGGCAAAGGCATCCAGAATCATTCGACTCTCTGAAACAAAAAAAAAGATGAATCACAGCAACCTAACACAAACAGTTACACCAGGCAGCAGCAGCTAGATGAATGTATGCAACCATTTACAGTAGCAGGCATTTTATTTCTGAACATATTAAAATTATGGCTTCTGCTTTAATACTTCTGCAACACTGCGATTTAAAACAATCCTGACTTTGCTTCTATTTTGAGAGTGCCCTTGTGCCCTTGCTGTTAACCAGAAATGTACTGTGATGATAGTCAGTGCTTAGTGCCATGTTCTTTCAGAGGGATTAAGACAGAGAAATGGGGGAAAAATATAAATTCCATCCAATATGCCACAATAAAAGTTCACAGGAGCATTTCTTTCGAAGCAGATTTCAAGCCGTGGTGAGCATTGCCTGTACCTATCTGCAGGACTTTGTGCTACACCTTCCTCCTATGCCCTGCTCCTCTCCAACAAGGCTTCCAAGCTTCAGTTTTTCTCCCTTTCACTTTTGCTGCACTTACCTGGCATTGGGCATAGGCCACTTCATAAGACCCACTCCATTTACATGGATTTTAAAGGCTCCTTTTGTTCTCGCTTCCAAAGAGGTCCAGAAAAGATTCGGGAGCAATGCTTTCTGTTGTGACTGCCCACAGAGTTGTGGCCATGCTGCTATCTCACAGCAGATAAAAGGGGCTGAGCAGTTTCTGGAAGCAAGGAAGCATGCCACGCCACAAACGCCTGGACCTGCCTCTAGTGATAGGAGGAGCAAAATACACCACCACTACAGGATGGCTTACTTCTGTAGGATCTGTGTGTGTAGAGCTGAGCTGCTATAACAGTGCCCACACTAAATGCAAACAGCCAGTGTGTCTAGCTCTGATTTATGGTATGACCTGCTACTTTCCCTGATACCAATGTCTTTAAAAAAAATTATTTATAGCTTATAGCCGAGTTCCTCTAGGCATCTGGAAGATGTAACTAACATTTTGCAGGAAATAAAAAAAAGTGGTAGATTTAAGCGCTGCCAAATTTGGAGAGCTCTTCTAAGACAGGCTTGACTTTTAGTAAGTGACAAATGCATTCGCTTTTGAAAAGGCAACCTGCTACAGATGTATGGAACTAAGCACCGCAAACCTTCACTTAACTTAAACTTGTCACTAGAGGTGAAAAACACAGCCTCGTCACACTGATAACACGTAAAGACCAGAAACTTTGGGAATTCAGATCTTTAAGAGATGGTGCTTTTCACAGCACTTTTCCATCACCCTGCAGTTTTGTTTGCTGGTGGAAAATTACATCATCCTGAGGTTAGAACAGCTGTCCTGCAGAATATCTGAAATGACACTAATTTGGATTTTTACCATCCTCCAGCTGTCAATAAGGAAGAACTAAGGCAGCATACACATGCCGCGAGTCTTAAGTACAGACGGAGTAGGCCTCGCTGACACACAACCCAAGGGTGTCATCTCCTGAGGACTCACACAGGTAAGAAGAGAGGCATGAGGAAGACAGAAGGGAACGTGCAGTGCAGTGTTCTGAGATGGCCAGGAACAAGATGAGAGCACATTAGCATGTGAAGTACAGGGGGCTCTGAGACAGCTCTGAGCAGCCCCACAATCTGTGCCAGCAACTCACATCACACCCTCACTTTGAGTTCTGACCAAGCAGGACAGATTCCTCCATCTTTCTGTCATCAAAAATGCTTGGGTGCTTGGTAGCCTCTATACCCACTGTCACTTCCAAAAGCAAGGAGTCCTGGTGACACTGCAGCTTTCTAACTGGTACCTATGGACAAGAAAGGAAATCATGAAACTAAAATACCACTAACACTCTCAACTTGTGCTTTCTTTCCCTTATGTCTTCACATATTTTCCCTTTAAAAATATGAAAGGATATTGATTGGAACTTTGCAATCCTTCTACAGAGCAGTTTTTCATTCATTTTAATCCTATAATCCGATTCCAGACCTGAAGTCATATTTACTGTTTGTATTTTAATCATTATGGTCCCTGTTGACAAAACAGTTACTCAGTTTTTTTGCATATCTCTCTTGCAAGGGGACGAAAAATGAATGAAACAACTGAAAGGGGATTAGATTAGCATAGGAGACGCTATTCTAGTATTACAGCTCCTGCTAAAACACGGCCAGGAATAACCTGCCATTTCAAATACCAGTTCTGAAGAACACTTTAATAAATACTGCCATCAGTAAAGATAAAATTAGTGATTAGTTTTGTTGTAAAAATGAATGCCTTAACGCATTCACTGTGATAACGGCTTAAAACGTAGCTGAAATTTTATACAGAAATGACAGCATTGATTTAATCTTCAGTTCAGTATCAGATCTACTACAAAGACACAATAACAGCAATTACTGTCTTTTTTCTTAGCTTTAACCCATACCCAAGGATGCAAAAATGAAAGCTGTGACACAGTGAGGCTATTACAAAATGTGAGCACAAGGATTTGCAAATGCTTTCTGCCAGTGCCACTGGGCAGTGACAGTGAGAGATGCCCTCAGCACACAACCCTGGCTCCATGTTGAACCATGTACCACTGCAAAGTACACCACTAATACTACACGTACCCACAGTCTGAACAACCCTGAGTGAGAATGGCAACTACAGTTATTCCTTGTGATGGAAAGAAAAATAAAAACAAATGCTGCCTATTTAGCATTTATTATAGAGCTTGGTATTCCAGCTTTTGCAGGGTGACTGTAATTAGAAATGCAAGCAGCATGCAATGTCTAATCAGTAATAAATGACAAAAAAATTGTTTTAATGTGAATACTACCGAATAATCACAGATCTATGATTCTTAATTGATTTAATGTAATGTACGTATTTTCTAGGAAAGAAGGATTCTGCTGAAATGACTGCGCCAGACTGAAATAAACTACTTACTGAAACTGTATTCTGACACTCCTCTTCCTTATTACAATGCTCACCAACCATGTAATTCTAATGTGTCAGACCCTGCAGTCTTCAGTCTTACAGAACTTCTATTGACTTCAGCTCCACTTCTGCCTGGAGGTGGGCTTGCCACATTAGGCCCATAAAGTGCTAACAAGAGATGATTAACTCACCAGAAGTGTAAGCAGTTCTAAACAGACTATTTCTCTGAGAATGCAAGCAACCAGCTGACAACATTACCACGTGGCAAATGAGGGACCAACTCCCAGATACAGTTCTTCATTTTCACTTCTTTTTCTCATTGATACTAGTTTGTTTTTTCGTTTGTGTGCTTGTGTGTCTCTGAAGCTGCCAGACTGAAGACAAGGGTTTAGTAAGAGCAATCACATGAAGCTCAACCAGATGACCTATGGCAATGCATTAGAAAAGCTGTCTGGAAAGGCTGGTGGGTGCTACATCAGATTTTTCTACACCTAAGGATCTTTTCAATTCTTAGACCAGACAGCTTTATTAATAGACACTTTGCTGGATCTCAATAGATCCGCATTCAAGTGTTGGCTTTTCCATGGTTTCCTCTGCGACCTCGGGTGGATGGTATGAAAAGATGTCTTTACTGAGCTACTGAGGGGGTCCAAATGACACACATTCTCTCCTGTGGAGAATGTACCCATTCATATTTGATCTTCAATAAGATTTGAAGTTTCGATTTCAATAATCTCACTCTTCACTTTGCAGCGTTTCAGATTTTTATCTCTTGATTTGTTGAATAACTGTATTCTATTTCTTAAGGTCCTGGGTAACAGCTCTGTATCCCCAAATGGCTTAGTCCTTGTATACAAATCTTCTCATCACATGGTTAGATAAGAACATTGCTGCCTGAGTCAAAACTGGGAGCATGTGACACCCTGACTAAGGGATGCTTTTGTGGGCATTTTACATGAAGATCACTGAGACACTCCAGCACAATTGATCCATCCACTCCACATAAGTATTTCCAACTTCTTGCTTAAGGCCAAATTGACGCTCTCTTCACCTTCTCTATTCAAATATAGACATATATAAATACATACATATCCTGGACACAATAGAAATTGCTTAATTAGTCTTGTTAAGCATGCCAGGTCTTTAGCACTACTGCCTCTATGACAGCTCTGCTTGTCTTGCTTTCTACTTACTCTCTTCTTAAATTTCAAGGCACACTGTAAGGTCTACATCATGCTTTCCTATGGAAAAGAAGTTACTTTTGGAGCCCATCACGCTGTTTAATGCAAACAATAATAAAAATAAAAAATACACATTATTTCCATACCAAGAAAATATTTCAACCACTAAACTAATAAAGAACTGATGCTCCAAAGGAGAAAACAGGTGTCTGCCCATATTTTGAATGTACTCGTGTGGATTATACTGCAGCAGTCATAGCAAGCACTGCTCACCTGAGAAAAGGGGAGGCTTGTATTTGCAGCACAGCTTCCCATTTCTTACAGTAAGATGACATTTCTCAAGCTGAAGCCTCCCCTGAAAGGTGGGGTCCCAAGCTGGACCTTCCCTCGCAATGAGGCAGGGTGGAGAACCCCTCCTCTGCTCTTCATCCTTCCCACAGCCCTCTCCCTGCTGTTGTTTTGGAGCCCCAGCCAGGGCAGTCTCTTAGTTCAAAGACGACACTGCTTATTTCTGGCAGGAGCTCTGAACACTTGCATATGCTTGAAAACATGTAAGCATCCTTACTCATCCCCTTTGGCTGTGTTATAGATGCCCACTTTCAAAATGAGACTCGGTGTTCTGAATCTACAAGCCTCAGAAACATCATGCCTAAAGATTAAAAGCCAGCTGTATCAAGTGTTTAAGCTACCAGACCAGAGCAAGATGTACCAGGGATGGCACTTTACCAGTCAGTTTATATTCTGTTACCTACACGTGTGAAATGCCAACAGAAAGCGGGAAACCCCTGAAACAGGTGTTGCTGTAGAACCGCAGCTCTCTCCCACTGCACTGCAGATAAGCTAAGGGGGAAAACCCTGGAAGCCAGGGTAAGTCCTACCTGCCCTCTGCAGAACAACAGAACACAGCTCAGACTGTGGTGACAACCCACACAGAACTCCCCTCCTGCACACTGTGGCAAGTCTGGGGTTTGCTTTCTTCTATTTTGTCTGTCCTACTTGGTAGCTCAGCCTCAGCCTGTGAGAAAGGTATGCTGGGATCAGATTGGGAACCCAAAGTGAGCCTGACGTGCAGGTGATGAGGTCTGCAAAGACCTTCAGAGCACAAACAGCCACTCCTCAGTCATCCTCTTTTGCACAGACCCAGCTCAGTGACAAACTCTGGAGCTCGCTCGTGCTCCTGGTTCATACAGCCATAGAGGCAGGAGGAAGTCCAAACTTCTGCTCACCAAAGCCCAGAGTGCTCTGCTGCAAATATGGCCTCATCTGTCACCTACCAGGCAGCCGAATGTCTTCGTGGCGTGATCTGCTTCTGTGAAGAAATGCAGGTGTCACATTTATCAGCAGTGTTTTGATTGAGGGCCACAAATATGCTGAAATAACAGCATTTGGGCATCTAAATAACAGGAAATTTCAAGAAAAAAATCCAACGTGACCTTCTGCCACAGATTACAGGACCATGCGTCAAAGCAGAGAATTTTCACACTCATCTATTAAACTTTTTTTGGTAAAGTACGTGAATTATTTGTTACAAGAGGTGATAAATCCATCCCACGTGTGGCAGCTTCGGAGTGAACACAGGCCTTAACACACAGCCATATATTCTATTAATCAGCACATCTCCCTGTTCAGTAAAGAAATGTCATCGCATTTGTTACAAAGGCAAACAGCAACATAGCAAAACAGGATCCAATTTTTCTAAATAAATAAATCAATGATGTGTCAAAAATTAACAGATGAGTTAATATACCCGATGTTATCAAAACCAGATGGTGCTTCATAATATTCATCCTGTTCAGTCAAACCCTGAATGTATTCTGGACCATCAGTATATAAAATAGGATGCTGCTATTTGTGATGGCAAACAAAAGCAATCATGCCTGCCAAGCACATACTATAACAGGCAGCATTTCAGCTCTGCTAGACAGAAAGTAATTAGAATGCTTTTAATGTCCAAAAGAATGATGCTGATAGGCTGCCACAGATGTGTAGATTTATGAATATTTATATGGTGGTTTATAGCTGACACTTTTATCAGTTGAAGAAGATAAAATATCTGCCTGACTCAAAAGCTTGACAGTCAGGTTAATAAAATCTCATTAAAGAGAATGACCTATGCAATTATATAGGATTTATTGTAATTCATTTTTGATTGTACTCTGCTTAAAGATGCAATTTCCCATTTCCTGATGCCAAATTTAGGTTGCATATCAAGATCTACGTGGTTTTTAACTCCGAGCCATCGCCAGAAGAAAGATACGCGTTCAGCATCTCGCTATCTTACACCTCGCAGGAAAAAACATTAGATATTTTCACCTCCGTTCCAAACGGCACTCCGCGGAAGCGGCCCATCTATTGCCCCGTTACGCCCCCACCCCGTTCCCAGCCGGCAGCCCGAAGCGGCGGACGGCAGCGGGCTCCTGGGGGGCGCCGGCCCCGCCGAGCCGGAGCGGCTCCGGGAGAGCCCCGACGGGAAGCGCCGAGCCGCGCCGCCCCACTCCGCAGCCCTCGCCCCGCGGCCGCCCCCACCCCCGGCGACGCCGACCCGCTCCGCCCGCAACTTTCCCGGGAGCGCCGGGACGCGAAGGGCGGCCCACCCCGCGGGGCCTCGCGCCTCCGCCCCGCCGCGAAGTGCCCCGCGAAGTTGCGCGGGGAGGCGCGGAGTTGCGGTACCTGCGCTCAGCTCCGCGCCGCCGCCCGCGGGGCAGGGGCCGTAGCGGCCCGAGGAGCTGGGGGCCGGCGGCGGCGGCGGGCGGGGGTGGCCCTGGGCGGCGGCGGGGCGGGCGGGGAAGGGGCCGTGCGCGTAGGGCAGCGGCTCGGCAGCGGGCGGAAAGGGCTGCCCCGCCGCGCGCCCGCGGGGCATCTCCACCATGCCGGCTCTCTCGTAGCGCTTGGCCAGCGCCGCCCGCTTGCCGGGGAAGGTCTTGAGGACGCTGTAGGGACCCCGCTGCTTGTAGATTTTGGGGGTGCTGGGCCCCTCCTCCGCCGGCTGCATCTCCTCCTCCATCCTCCGCTTCCTCCTCCCCCGGCCCGGCGCGGCCCCGCTCCGGGGCTGTGGCCGCCGCCGCCGCCGCGGCTTGTCTCTGTGGCACGGCGGAGCCCCGGCGCGGCGGGGCGCCGGCCTGATTGACAGGCGGCCGCGCCAATGCCTGGAGGGAGACGGGCGGCGACCGCCGAGTGTTTGGGGTAATCTCTGCTAATGGCAACGGGGCGGGGAGGCGGGCCCTGGCGGGGCCGCCGCCGCCCCGTTCGCCGCCGGCGGGGGCAGGTGAGCCGCGGGAGCCGAGCGGCGGCGCGGAGCGCTCTTCCATCACGGCGTGGCCCCGCGGAGCCGCCGCCAAACTTTGGCGCCCTCGGGCTGGGCGCCCGCCTGCCCGCTGCGGGGCGGCGCGGGGATAAAAGTGTTGGGAGTGCGGGACCCGTCAGAGTTGATTAGGGAGCAGAGGACATTTTCTTTCTCGTTATGCATAAAGCGCTTCGTGGCGAAATAAAAAGCGGGTCCGCCGTAATTCATGCATGTCAGATTTCCATGAATCTGGGAGATTAATCGCGTTTAGCGTGATTTGCAGCGTGCCCTCCCCGCTCTCCGAACCCGTCCGCTCGGTGCAAAGTGCTGCACCGAGCTGCGCCCGTCCCTCTGCCCGCCCGGAGCCTTCCAGGGCAGTTCGGAAATAATGAAATGCCGCTGAGAGACAGCTTGAGAATGAGATGCCAGCGAGAGACGTCTCTGAGAAATGGAGGAGATCTGGGGAGATGGAGACAGCTGAAGCTGAGTGATACGTTGGAGAAAAATAAACGATAACAAACCGCTCGCTCTCCCCATTCTTTTCAGCGAGGCAATTTGATATTTTGCATTAACATTTCCCTTCTCCTGTCCCACTTCTCCCCTGCTTTTGCTGCTGTAATTTATCAGGATTACAATAAGCCCTCTGGCTTTGGGAAGCAAAATTACAGAACACCTTAGTTCTATTTAAGTCGTGGCGGTGGGAAATCATCCTTCTGCCATCGCGGGGCTCGGCTGCGTGCTGCGGTCATCACTCTCTGCTCCTATGGTGTTTGTTCGGCGGAGCCGCGCTCGCTGGGAAGGGCAGCAGCCCCTCTCTGTGTGACCGACCCCGGGCTCACGGCCCCCTCCTGCGGCTCTCTGTGGGCCGGGTCCCGTTCCATGCGGGGCACATGGGAGCAGGGCGGCTGCGGGTTCTGATTTTTTGACAAGTAGGGTAAATCGATTTCTTGTAGCAGCCAAAAGCCTCTAAATAAAGGCTAGTGTAATAGAAATCGCTGTTTTACTTAAGAAAATCAATTGTAAGTCTTTGTTTTCCAGCCGACTCCTTGATCGCCTGCGCTTTAAAGACAATATTGTACTGTAATGCAAAAGGCAGAATGGAAATAAGCAGGAGAGGAATTTGTGCTTCCACTTGGAAATGAGACATGGAGGGGATGAGGTCAACACCTGGCATTGGCCACTGCTGTAGGAGACCCCGCTACATTCAAATAAACAGCCCCAAGTTAACTGTTCAGGTATAAGCTGCAATTCTGGGGGCTCACTGTTGCTTGGCGCTGCCCCTGCTCCTAGTGAAGGAAACAAACCTGTCTTCCATGCATACCCTATCTCCTCCTGCAAGCAGGGAGAGAACCAGTGCAGTGTGCCCTTCCCTCCTGCCAGGGTGCCTGCAGCCCCACCTGCTCCAGTTCAGGGCTGGAGCCACATGGACATGAAGGGAGAAGGCCATGTGGGGATAACAAGGTGTGAAGACTCCCGCAGCTGAGCCAAACCTTGTGGGGTACTCCTTGTTGGGGAACAGAGCTTTCCTCAAAGCTCTGAACAGGCACATGGGCACTCTGAGGTGGGCTGATGTTATTTTAACTATTTGTCTCTGTATTGCAGTTGCATTTCAGCTGCACACTGGATTAAAACAACACATAGCCCTCACCTTGATTATCCTCCAAAATAGCCTTAGCTGACACCAGCAGCTTGTTCTGAGAAGTTAACACCTTTGTTCCCCTCCCCATCCTCTGAGTGAAAGAGTTCCCCTTAACATGTAATCTAAATCTCATCTCTTTTAGTTTAAAGCCATTTCCCCCTGTCCTGTCACAGTCAGACAATCAGTGTAAAAAGTCAGTCTCCCTTCTGCTTATAAACTCCATTTAGGTACTGGAAAGCTGCAGTGAGATGTCCCCAGAGCCTTCTCTTCTCCCTTCTGAACATCCCCATCACCCTCAGCCTAGGAGAAGTCCCTCTTATGATCTTCTTGGCCCTCCTCTGGACACTCTCAGATGGAACAGGCTGCCTGGAGAAGCTGTAGATGCCCTGTCCTAGAGGCTTTCAAGGCCAGGTTAGATGGGGCCCTGGGCAGCCTCATCTAGTGGGTGGCAGCCCTGCTTATGGCAGGGGGTTGGAGGTCCCTTCCAACCCAAGCCATTCTATGATTTCCTCAGGCTGTGCTATGCTGACATGATGGTTGCATCTTTCCCTATCTGCTTACTGGTGTGAGTTTCCATTTTTAGGGGTTTGAGACCCGTAACAGGATTATTGCAGACTACTCTGAGTGAGTGGAGAAAGGATGGGAAGTAGCTGGCCCTCAACAAATAATAAAAAAAAGCTAATCAAAACAAAGACAAAGGGCGCAATGAAAAATAAGAAACCCAGCGTTGCTGCAGCGTATGCTCTCCTGCTCCTAGAAATCACTGCAAAGAGAATATTTGTCAGTGTATAGAAAAATACCCAATCCAGACACAGGCCATCAATCACTGGGCATGCCTGTGTGAAGGTATTGCGAGGTGCTCAAAGAACAGAAGCGTGATCCATCTCTATCTGCCGAGCAGGGCTAAATCTCACGCCGCTTATTCGCGGGAGCCGCGCTTCAGTGCTGGAGAGAGCCTGCAGGATTTGGCCATGAGCTGCCAATATCGCTCTGTGCGCTTGGAGTGCACGATGAGAGCTGAGATTGGCAACTCTCCCCTGTAATCTAAAGCACTCTGCAAGCAGGCTGGCCGTAATTTGCTGCCCTAAACATTTAACCCTAGCTAGTTAATTTAAGCTTAGCTCAGTTGCTCATGTTTATGGATAAAGAAACAAAAGAGAGAGCATCAAAAGGAAAAGATGACTGTGGAATTCAATATTTCAGCAGCTGTTGATAGGTAAATGTTATTGAAGTGTGGCATTCAAAACCGAAGGCCTGCATTTATGATAATGAGCCTAACAAGGAAATGAGATTGACACAGCAATTCTCTGTTTTTGTTGTCCCCTGAGGTTAGAGATTATGCAGTGCATGGTTCTGTTTTTAGCCTCTTTGGTGATTCCAGCTGTGAGAGACAGCACTGTGCACATTTGTCAAGGTTGTGCTTCAGTCGGGTGACTCAGGAGCTTGAGGGGAACACAGACTGCTGGCCTCATCTCACCTTGAGCCCACATCCCATACAGAGAGCAGCCCCTCCACTGGCAGGCTGTCCCCCATCTCCTGTTGGGCTTGCTCTGTCCTTTGTGAAATGCTTTGAAATAATTGAAATGTATCTATCACTGCGACATTGTGTTTTGAGAATTACTGGAATGTTTCCCAATGACATTAATTGGTTTAAAAATATTTTTCTTTTTCTAATTAGTGCAAGATTGATGAGCGGTGGAAAGGGCATTTATACAGGCAGACACATATTTCCATGCTACATTCGTGTCTTAATAAAATGGTAGCTAACTGGATTCTAGTGCTGAGTAAACATTGGCGAGACAGAAAATACTGTCTACCTTCAGGAGGAGGAAATATCCAGTGTTTTAAATGGAATTGTATTGTGTGAGGAAAAAAAAAAAACTGAACTGGTCTCCCTGAGGACTGGAAAATGGATAAATGAATTATTTAAATATAGTTAAAGGACACACAGGAAAAAGTAATGGCTTTGATACCCAATGTAGGAAAAATTATTAATATTTTAAGGGATCAATTGTGGACACATGGAAAAGCTCATTTTAATTAAAGATCGCTTGCATAGAGTGGTTTGAAGAAGGGAAGAATTGTATAAAGTATTTGTTGCTTAGAATTTCTTAGAAATATATCTTGGATAAAACTGATGATAAAACATGTTCATAACTTCAGCCTGCCCCGTTGGGCTGGTTCTGAATGTCTTCAGCTCCTTGGGACATTCGCTCCTGGGGAGACCTCATTGCAGCCTTCCAGTGCCTTCCAGGGGCTTATAAACATGAAGGACATCAACTTTTTAAACAACTAGATACAGATAGGACAAGGGAGAATGGTTTTATACAAAAAGAGAGAAGAAGGTTAAATGTCAGGGGGAAAATGTTCACTGAGAGGGCAGTGACGCAGTGGCAGAGATTGCCCAGAGAAGTTATGGCAACCTGAAGGTGTTCAAAGTCAGGTTGGATGGGGCCCTGAGCAGCCTGATCTGGTTCCTGATTTAGTGGCTGGCAACCCTGACCATGACAGGGGGTTGGAGCTAGATGATTTTTGAGGCTCCTTCCAACCAGAGTTATTCTACGATTCTCTCTTGTGTAGGCTTGGTGCTTGCATGTTGGTCAGCTTGTGATTGCTCTGTGATATTTTGGTCTTGTCTTGCCATGCTTGATGTTTACGAAGCGCCTCTGAAGGTGTGACTACTGTGGGCTGACAGAATGGATGCTCTGCAGGTTGGGATCACACTGCTTTTCCAAACCTATTTGTTGCCCCAGAATGGGGCTATAAAAGTAGGGCTCCACAGGAGCTGAGGGGCAGGAGACCATCCCTGCATTCACATTCGTCACTGTTCCATTCTCAAGCAGCCCCTAAACCTTACATTAAACCATGACAAATTAACAGCTCATTCTTAGAAGCACAGTTCAGACACTTCATGGAGATGAAATAAAAGGCTTCTTCCACATTAATAATCTTGTAACGGTAACACTGGTAATCCTTTGGGAAACCCAAAAAGCTGTCCTCAGGGGCAAAATCATTACTTACAGTCCAGAAGAGCAGAAAGCAATGGATAAAACCTGGAATCTCCTGAGATCTCTCAACAGTG